TTTTTATAAAACTTTGAAAAAAATACTATAAGAAATGATTTGAAGTTACATTTAAGGTTTGTCGGTTTTCAAAAACCGGTTTTTGGCAAAAATTATGGAATTCGAAAACTGGTTTTTAGTGAAAAAAGTCGGTTTTCACTGTATAAATGAAAAATGACAAATATCGCCAAATATAAAAGATAGATGAAAGCGTTTTGATTCTTGAAATCATATCGGTTCAATAGAATTTGATATCTTATCAGTCTGCAATGGTTCCCAGAAAGGTTTTGTTTATATTAATTTAGATTTTTATACCAGGGCATATATTAATTTAAATCAGTGCGACTTCTTCTTGAAGAAGTAACTTCCTCTGCAAAAACTTAAAAAAAAGAGTTTTAAACCCTAGGAGCCACAAATTAAAGAGCAAAAAACTTAGAATTATTATATCAGGCTTTAAAAACAATTAAGCATAATTTGGTCGCAAGTATGAGAGTATTTTCTATTTCAGGAAATATTACGAGTAAACAAAGGACACGTCTGAGTAGCAATTCGATAGACATTCTAAGTTTTTGTAAATCATATTTTATTAAATAAAAAAACAATTAGAATGTTTAGAATTAATTAATTAAAATTGCTCGGAACAGACAATACCTGTACAGAATATTCGAGCAAAAATTTATTTGCTATATAAAATTCGAAAACCGGTTTTTTGAAATGTCGGTTTTTGTATAAACCCTAGTTACATTATACTTTGTATACATTTTATTCCATAAAATAAAAAATCAAAGAGAGTTTTGTGCAAATAATTGAAGGGGAAAAATTCATTTTTGCAAAAAAATCTGAAATATTGGACAATTTGCCTCTAAATATTATCTACATAATCAAGGCATTGAAGATAAATATGAATAAGATTATAATAATAATCTTGAAATCAATAATATGGATGAAGAAGTTATTCATATAGAAAATTTGCCAATCATTCTTTGTGACAATCTCTATACTACAATATTATTTGCATAGAAGAATTTATCCAAATGTGATATTTTTAATTTTACAATAAGTTGCACTTATTGATAAATTTATCTAATTGAACTTTGGTTTACTCGCAGTATAATAAAAAATCGGAAACTTGTAAAATTTCAAGTTAGCCAAAATATTATTTTATAAAAACTTCGATGCAAAAGTCAAGTATATTCATAATAATCAAAAGTTCCAAAGGTGTAGTTAGGAGTTGATTATATTTATCAATTGGCACTTGTATGTTAATAATTGCGAAAACCAAAAATTAATAAAGTTGTGTAAATGTGAACAGATGCAAAATGTAATTATTTTACAAGATTTTCACAAAGTATTACCAAGCACCTATTATTCGTCATTCCAAAGTATTAGTTTCATATATGTACCTTAAGTCTTAGCATCTTAATAATATGTAGAACAATATTAAGTAATTAATACCTTCCTAAAATTCATAAGTGTCTTTTGAAAACGCAGCAGAACCTGTTGCCGTCTGCTTTAATATTTAATGCTGCAACTTCGGGAGCTGCAGATCCGTCTTGTCTACTGTCAACTGTCTATCAAATTACCTTTGATGCAAAACGTAATTTACGAACGTTCTAATTCAATACAATATGAATATAAATTTAATATATCTTCAAACATTTACACAGAATAAATTTCTTCTGTCATCAGCTTAAAGAGACACATCAGGAAAGAACACTTGGGGGCCCACGATTTTTTTATAAAATCGAGCAAAACATCTAAATTAGGAAGATTGGAAAATTCTCAAGAAAATTATACTTGGATACAGTTTTATTCGACCAATCTAATTAATTATAATAATTTATTTTGATTGAGATACTTATTTTATTGCAAAAATAACAGAAAAAATCACAAGAAATGAGATACAATATAAATGAGAAGAAAAGTTTAATCATAAAAATTAATTCAATATAAGATTATTACCCGAAGCGAGAAACTCATACAAAATATTTCCATTCAATTAGTTGATAAAGAATCTTATTTACTTGATATTCTTCGGCATTGTAGAGGTAATTTAGTCGAATTCAGTTTCATTAAAGCTATCTTTCAAGGATAATATATATTTAATGTTGTTTTCAACGATATACCGAAATCCCAAACTTTTCTTGTTTTTTTCTCGAAGTACACATTTCTTATAAAAGTGTAATTTTAGACGTAAAAATGTAAGCAAAAATAAATATTACGTGACTTATTGAATCCCACAAAATAAAATATTTGGAAATACCTAAAATAATACTCGAACCTTGCAATTATTTTTAATGAATAGAAGTAACTAGTGGGGTGCATGGCATAGTGCCTTAAGGCAAATTGCTGGAACTTCCCGTACCATAATTAAAAATCTTGGTATGGAACCAAAAAAATTACACAAAATGTGAACACTTTATTGAAATCACTATAAAATATCTGATAATTTGATGTGTATATGTCCAATAAACATTTTTGACCGTCAAATGACATTTTTTTAATTTATTTTCATTGAGATTCCATAACCGCTGCACCTGCCTTCCCAAAAATTTAATCAGTTTTTCACCTTGTCAATACAAGTAAAATGTTTTTTGAATTATTAAAATCGGACGCTCAGTACTCTTAAAAACTAAGTTACCATTTTTGGCACTTTTTGCCTCGTATCTTTGGAACGGCAAGACCTGCCTTCGCCCGAAACTAATCAGCATGTATCCTTATCAATACGAATCGAATGTTTTTTGAATTATTCAAATCGGCTGATCGGTGTTCCCGAAATCGTCGACAAAAATTTTTATCCGCACACACACACATACATCATTTTTTTCTAAGGTATGCCAAAATGTTCAGAAATCTCTGAAACGTAAAGATATATAAAAAAAATTATTTGGCAGTCTAGAATTTCATCATTCAATTTACGTTTTTATTAGCTTTTAAAATAGTTCATTATTATTCTAACAAATGCAAGCAGATATAAATCAACAACATACTGGTTGTGTTGACAAAAATGTCTATATTAAGATGATATTTATTACTTAACATACAAAAATAAATTTCGTTCTTCCAAATCCTTCTCGATTATTCACCCCTTATCAGTCTATTTGAGTTTCCTCAAAATACCTCATCAAATTGTCATAACCTTTAGCCGTTGTCTTGAGTAAACAGCAATTTATAATTAAATTGAATCGTTGAAAAATCGGTAAATAATATTTTGAAGCCAGAAAGAATTTATCGGTGACGTGATTCATGGTCGGGCGGTATAAAAATGGCTCTTAAAAAGATTCCTTGTCCAATAAATCAAGGATAGATTCGTCCTCCTTGTACTAGAAAATCGGATTCAACTGTATATTGGTTTGCGGATAGAATGCATTACTCTGATCGCATATCGATGCTCAAGTGCAGTTTTGTAATATATCTGATATTGAACTAAGAACTACGTCTCAAACTGTATTATTTACTTATGAAACGACATATCATATATTACAAAATGTCGTTTTTTATTTATAAAGGTATTTGGAATTAAACAAGGACGATGAGCCATATATTTAATCCTATCGGAATCTGAGTGATTAAGTTTATCTGTGGTGAACTTGAAAATTTTTTATATGCGTCTGGCTTATCAAAGAACCCGATTAAGAAATATCTTTATTTCCTTGGATAGTCATTTCTTAAATGCAACACGTAGTGTTTTTCCAACAACTAAATATTTCACAACTAAAACTAATACCCAATGAACACAAAATCGTAACATCTACGAAATTTTTACTAAGGGACCGATTCTGCCGCATAACAGACAAATGTTATGGCAAGGCCATGTTATGAAGAACTTTCCATACAAATCCGTTCTAAATATTGTCAAAGGCCATGTGGTTGTTGTACAGTCAGGCGATTTTCTCAGGTTGTCAGATAGAAAACATAACCGCACAAATGACAAAAATACGATGTTAGATAACAGGAACTTTCTAACACAGCTTTGTAACATACGCGTGACGTTGTAGTTTATGTGTAGAACGCCTGAATTCATAGCAAATACATGGCATTTTGGCAGTATTCAGTATGATTCAGTAGCATAATGTATGGAAATTGGAGCGTAACATAGCCTTGCCATTATATTTGTTTGTTATGCGGCAGAATCGATTCCTAAGTATTACTTTCACAAATCTGATTTTACGTGGAATACTTCATCAAAGAAATCACAATATCGTAGACAAGGTAATGTAGTATGACGATCTTAGAAATCTATTACTAATGCTCATTAGAATTTTTCACTCGCGGATGCTTCAAAAAACTTAATTTTTGTTTGAATTTTTAAGATACTTCGGAAAACTATCTATTGTTGCAATTTTAATATTATAGAGACTTCAGAAAAAATGGCGTTTTATAAATATGCTAGCCATACTTCAATTTATTACATTAAAAAGAAAGAAGTCTTAGTATGAAAAACTCTTTGAGATGGGAACAAAAAATATCGTTTTTTTCACATTGGAATTGAAACAACCAGTTTTATATCTCAAGATCATACCACAATTTTACATTAAACGTTTAGTTTAGAAAAAATATTGGGGTAAAAATAAACAATAATTGGAAAACATTAAGTAAATCTCAAGCTTTACCCAAGTTTAGATTTTTAGAGAATAAATTAATATATTTCTGATCTCAGGGTATTATATGCCCATTAACGATGTGAGTAGCACTCAAGTTAGTAAAAGCTTCATTTAAAAGGATTCTTTTGAGCTGCACTTTAATGCATCCAACAAATTTTAACTTCATTATCACAACCAAATTATAAAAAGAATATATTAAAGGTATGTAGATATCTATGTAAAAAAAATTCTCTGTGCAACTAGATTTTTGTGTTTACGTTTCGCTCATTGGCAACAAACTTTGGAAATAAGATTCTGTACCTAATATAGATAGCTCAGAATTTTTGTCAAGACATAAAAATACGACCAGTTTCAAAATGAATGAAAAATTATATTTCCATAAGATGAAATAAGTTAATTTTATTATAAAAATCTTACCGTCAATTGTTGTATTAGCCTGGGACAATTGCAGAAGACACTGCTCCTCTCTTTCAGCCTGAGCCTGTTCCTCATTCATTATGGCTAGAAAAACAAAACATGAACATCAATTTTTATGTAAATTTATAAGTCAAAATTTTTGTAATAAAAAATAATAAATTTGAGGGTAATTTCGATGCGACATATTGAATCTTAGGAATAAAAATGTTTAGGACTATTCAGTTGCATTCCAAATTAGGATTTATATGTTGTGCTTTATCCTCAAACCAAAAAAAAGATTTTGATAATGAGTTGGAAAAGAAGAAATGTAAAAATTGTTATCAGAAAAGCGATGTAAGTGAATGATAACTATATATAATTAATTTAATTGAAGTTGCAAAAATTAATTTTAGAGTAAAATCTTCTAGGATTGGTATTTTGACATTTCATAGTTATGTATTGCACAGAAACGAATTGAAGCTCCTTGATATTATAATTTTATTTCTAGATCTTTAAATGAATTTTTAAAACCAAATATTCTTATAATAGCAAAGATTATGGTTTATAATTAGCAGACTAATTTGTACATTCCAAAAATACTTTGCAATATAAACAAATATTTAAATACCTTAAATATACAAACTTGAACTCTGCCGAAAAGTAAATATTACAACAATATTTTATACTGATTATGAGGATTCACATATCGTTTTTTAAGCACTTCACTAACACTAACATAAATGATTTTAAATATAAAAAATTTGCCATTATTTAATAATATTTATAATAATTATCCAACGTATATAAATAATCACACGTGACGTTGGACGAAATTCATATGATCTGAATCCGACCCGCACGATGACAAAAGTCAAACTGAAGATCAAGTGCAACCGACATCGGTTTAGTGAATAACGGTGGCCATACGGTGGCGCTGGCGCATACGTAGCAGGAGCGGAAAAAAACTTTTTTTTAACAATTTAGATTTCAATATGAAAATACATTTTTCAATTATTTTTAATAAAATAATTGATATATAAGAAATATAGGCTGAAGGACAACATTTCTAATTTAATATAAAGTTTAGTTCAAGATTAGCACCAAAACAAATTTGTTTTTAGTATGTTGGCTGTAATGAGTTTTTTAATGCAAAAGCTTCACTCGTAACTTTTTAATAATATATTTAAAAATGGCAAATTGTTCTTTTGTAGAATTAAATAGTATTTCAAAGACATTTTCCACATTTAGATAAAAATATATTTACTTTTTAGTACAACTTTAACTTGCAACTACTATTACTATACATGATTTTGATATTTACAACTTATTATTTCCTCTAAACGCAATAATTTGAGAAATGCAATAAATAAGTCATTTCAAAAACGAGTTTGTGTTTCCTGTTGTTACTTTACTAATAACAGCATAGCCCTCTATACAAATTTCACGTAAGTTTTTTAGGCGTTATGCAAGTGCATTACTATCTCATGCCATGCGATTTCGACTTCTCTATGGAGCTCACATAACCCTTTGCTAGGGCAAACATTGTCGATATTTGTCATTATATTAATACTAATTTATTGTAGGTAAATAAATAAGTATCCAGACAGATTTATGTAAAAGCGTCTGCAGTTTTACTAAAGGTACTATAAGTATATCCTCAGACTCTTTTCTTTCAGGATTGATAGATGTTGTAGTTCCTAACTTAAGCTACTGCTTTTTATTTTACAGATGGGTAATACGGTTTCTGCAGCCGAGTACGCTGCTACACAGATATTAAAACCCGACGAAAATGCAAAAGCAATGCACAATCATCATCAAAGTTTACAAGGAGTCCCTCCACCCGAATGCCCCATGCATCAGAAAACTTTAATGTCAGGCTGTCCTGTGCAACAAGGACAATCAGATGTTAACCCTCTAAATATGATGCCACCTGCAAATCAGCAACCTTCACCAGGACAACCATTTCCTCTACCAAAAGAAAGGCAAGTAAGCACAATTCCTAAAGTCACAGAAGATGGTTCCGTAGCCTTTTGGGAATACCCCAGCCAACAAATGTTTTGGAATGCAATGTTACGCAAAGGCTGGAAGTGGGAAAAGGATGATATTAAACAAAAGGATATGTCAGACATCATTAAAATTCATAATGCTAATAATGAGCAAGCATGGCGTGAAGTATTAAAATGGGAAGCTCTGCATTTCAAAGAATGTGAATGTCCCAGATTAAAAAGTTTTGGTGGAAAAGCCACTGATTACAGTCCAAGAGCTCGTATTCGATCCTGGATGGGTTATGAATTGCCTTTTGATCGTCATGACTGGATTATTGATAGATGCGGCAAAGAAGTCAGATATATTATAGATTATTATGATGGAGGCATTGTTGATGATGAATACAAATTTGCTATTTTGGATGTCAGACCTGCAATGGATTCTTTTGAAAATATTTGGGACAGAATGAAAGTTGTGTACATGCGGTGGACAATGAAGGACGAGTAGACTAGGAGTTTAATGGTAGTAAAATATCTTGAATATTAGATATATTGTATATTATGTAAATTTATTATGTATTTATTGTTAATATAGTTTATAAAAATTTGCACAAGTCATACTGTATGACTGAGTTTCCAAACTTATTAATTATGGTATTTTTAAATAGAATATGTACATAAATTATTTTTGCTTTTTTGAAAACTTGTTCGGTATCTTTTGTCTAGTCACATTCTTTGCTCGCTTTGTATTTTTATGTTCAGTTCTTATGCTCTGAAATGTAAAGATTGTAATATGAAGGATCTGAATACATTACAATTTTAATATTAATAACAAGCAGTTTTTATTGCCACCTTCTCCTTTAGGGAACAATACTATGTTAGAATGGAAGATAATTATCTTTTAAATTGAAGTGGCATTATATTAGTCACAAAAATAATTAAATGCTTTCAAAAGCTGACTTATTGAAGAAAATTAAATAAGTATCATTTATGAAAATAAATTATATTACTTGATCATTGTTGTCACATTTATGATCAGGCAAGCAGCATTTAGAACATAATTCACAATGAGTCCAAGTTGGCTTCACGCATTTGTTGCAAATATTACAATGTACATATGTTCGACCATCTTTTGATGTACAAGAATTACATTTTTTGCAGTGTGAATTTTCTTTTGATACCCAATAATCACAAAGTTTGCAGAATTTATAGTCAGTAGATGGTAGAATGACTTTACTGAAAAATATTTTATATTTTGTGAATACTGGTATTCCATTGTGTATGTGAGATCATACCTCAATTCTATATTAGTGAAAAATCGAACAATGCTTCCCTGTTTTGATTTCTTATCATTGAATTTGGAATGATTTATGTATGATACCTAATATAATCATAATTTTTGCAATGAATATTTGTTTATACATTAATCTATTATATGGTTTTTCAACATTATTTTACAAGATTGTACTAAATACCTTATAATCACTCATATTCATTTCAGGCATGTTAGCTTTAATTAAAGATTCCATAAAGTAAGGCATTATTAGAAATACTGGTATTTTTATGCCTTCAGATTTTTCTTGCCCATTAAGTGTTAGCCATGTTTCAGACATAATTTTAAGTGTTTGTGATAATGGTTCCAAACGACCACCAAATGGTGGGTCCATAAAGACACAAGTTTTTGTACCTCTGTTGAATCAGATGCAATAAGTATTAATCTGCTTTAATAGAATTAGTACATTTGGAGTAATATGCATACTCATACCCATCTATCTTTAAAAAATCTTCAAATACAGTTTTGTCTTCAGGATGGAAAAAGTGATGATTGAAGCTATTATACCAAATAAATTCACTTGGTCCATAAAATGAATGAAATCTGGTATCAATATCAAGCAGCAAACTTGAATATGCTTTATCATTCTTATTTATTATATATTCGTTAATCAAAGGTGTGCCGATGCACAGAAAATTGCTGAAATTTCAAATTGACTAATTTACTTGCATTTTTAATGCTTCGACTAAAGGGCTTGCAGTAAAAAATTATGTTCTTACCTACCAATATCCTAATTTAAAAGCAATGTCTGTAATATCTTTAACAGATTGCTGAGTGAACAAATACTGTGCTTCCTTCTTATTATTACTGAGAGGCATTAACAAAGACATCGGATGATTTAACTCATTCGTTGATATATTGTATTTAACATTATGTTGTGTATGATCTTTTGAGGGTTTTATAAAAAATTGATTACAAGTGAAACAATAAGCTCGAAGTAAAGGTTGTGCATCCCTTATCTATATTATATAAAAATAAATTAAACTTATCAATACCATAATAAAATAAAAAATTACTTCTTGCATACCTTTTTCAGCATAGAAAAATATTCATCATGATTCAGCTCACTCAATAATTGTTCTTTTCTGAGGGAACTTTTATCATTTATCATTTTGTACTCATCAGCCCATTTGAAAAAGGGGCACCCTTTCCTGTCTCTATAGGCTGAACATGCAAAAAAATCGCGGGTGGTACCATTTTTATCTATTTTTCTTCGAAATAGTAATGTAGGTCCATGTGCACAAAAGGGATGGGTGCTTAAATCTTCTAGTATCACCTGGATGGCATACACCTTTTCAAAATCATTCATCTTGTGATAAATTATAGAAATATAAATAAGATCAGTGATAAAGATATATATTCATTTTGGTGATAATGTTTCTCTTAAAAAATAGTGAAAATTACTTATACAAAACAGTAAAACAGTTTTATATTAGTGTCATTTTTTGTTGGTTATGTGATATAGCGGTAACTTGAGCAACAAAATTCTAAGTTGCGCAGCACACAGGCAACGCAACATGAAGTGTGCAACTAACGGTTGCAAGTCTGCAATGCTATTAAAATATCAAATCTTGCAACCCTTTTGTGTGGAAAAAAGTATTAACATTTTGAAAATACACTAATTTATTGATTACTTAAAATACAAAATATTTAATTTATAACAAAATAATAATTTTTCTTAGATATGTTCACTCGGCGAAAGCAGAAGGAAGAGAGAGAGAGAGTTTTGTGGTTGCAAAGGGTTGCAAGATATGGGGTTCGTTCCATCCGAGCAAATCTGACAGTCCGAAACTGTTTCAAACAGTTTCAAACTAGATCAAACTCTTTCTGATTTTTTCATGGCAGTTGGCAATGGTTTGGTTTGAATACATCCAACGCGTTCGAACTCGGAGCTCACTCGATTGTATTCGGTGGTTTTCGGTACAAATCGGAATTCGTTTGCGGGTTATTTACGGCCGTTTATCGTTCGATGTTTGATCGCAGATAAGGAATAAGTTTTTAAAAAGTTTTTATAATATTAAAATATTATAAGTTTTTTTATAATATTAAAATAGTGTTTAGTCAAATTCAGAACTTTAGAACAGTTTTCAGTTTTTTAATTTAGTTAGTATAGTGCAATTTTTATTTAAAATGAGTGATGATGAATTTTTTTTACGATTTTAAAAAGTACGAGGACGACGATGATTTAGATTTATTAAAGTTTGTGGAAGTTGAAAGAAATAAGGGTTATCTTGGTAAGTAAAATGCAATCTGTTACTAAAATATTTTATTATATTTATTATAACATTACAAAATTAATTATAATATTACAAAATAATATTATAAAATAAAAATAATATTACAATAATATATTATTGTAATATTATTTTTATTTTATATTATTTTGTAATATTATTTTTAACTATTAATAAATCGATCACTATCATAAATATGTTAAGTGATTATTCAATAATTTGTTCAATGTGGCTATAGACAATAATCTTATTTTGGCAGACAAAGTGGTTCCATTGTATGACGAGGCACAGTTTATGGAACACTTTAGAGTTAGCAGAAATGTTTGTAAACAAATATCTGACCGATATAAAGCAAGTGCAATCTACAATTTAAATACATATGGAATATATGAAAAAATAAGTGCTTTACATCAGGTGCGGCATAAATTTGTGGTTGTTCTAAAAAAAATTATAATGAAATAAAATTTTAGGTGCAGATTTTTTTGTGGTTTGCGGGACATGAAAGTGCCAGCTACAGGGATGTCAGTGATCGTTTTGATATCACTTTAAGTTCTTTGCATAGAATAATTCGAAGAGTTACTTCTTTTCTAAGTTGTATCAGTTCTGAATTTATAAAGTGGCCAAATCATGAAGAAAAGTTATTGATTGCTGAAGGATTTTTACAAAAAGGATTTCCTAATGTAATTGGAGTAATCGATGGGTGCCACATACGAATAAACAAACCTGCAAAGGATTCAAGATCTTTTTTAAACCGAAAAGGATACTGTTCTATAAATGTGCGGTAACTTTGTTTATATACTAAAATTTCGAAACATGTTCTAATTTATTTTTTTCAGATGCAAGCTGTTTGTAATGATCAGAACAAAATTATCGATGTTTTCATTGGATGTCCTGGTTCAGTACATGATGCTAGAGTATTCAGAAGATCGAATTTGGGTTTAAATTTAAATCGAAAATGTGGTCGATATTTTTTATTAGGAGACGCAGCTAACCCGCTGAAAACAAATTTAATGACACCATTTCGAAATATTAATTCTCTAACGCAAACCCAGAAACATTTTAATAAAAAACTTAACAGTGCTCGAAGTACTATTGAACATACATTTGGGTTATTAAAACAAAATTTTAGGCAACTCTATCATTTAAAAATAAAAAACATCCATTTTATTTGCCATTTTATAAGAGCTTGCTGTGTTTTACACAATTGCAGCATAAAAGAAAATTTTGAATGTTTGCAGAGAAACCAAAATCTTTCTCGCTTGAACATTGAGTCTTCGGTTGAAGATGAAGTTAATGCCGAAGAAATAAATGCCCGATTGCTTCGCGATCAGATAGCAGCTGCTTTACTATAAATAATTATAAAATATCAAGAGGATTCATCATTTCATAAATAGTCGTAATGAATACAGAAGAAATTGAAAATAACATTTTAAAAATATTCAAAATGTTCTTTCATATTAGACATTTGGTATTTCACTAGTTTAATGTGTTATATAATGAAATAATTTGTACTTAATAATTAATAATATATTCAAAAAAACATATCATGGTATAATAATTAATATAAAAATAATTAATTTATACATCTCCATATTTATTTCTTAAAATTGCTAATTTCTCTCTTTCTATTTCTAATATTTCTCTATAAAATTTTCTCTTATCGTCTCTGATTTCTTGTAACGTAGTCCTTCTTCTTCTGATCCGCCTTTCTCTAGCAACAGTTGATGGCTCAATATCAAAATCTGATTCTGACGAGTCATCATCTGCTGCTGTTTCAATAGCAGATCGTGAAGGCCCAGTTTGTAGCATCACATCCGAAACGTTATTTTCATTTTCTGAATTCAATAGGCAGATAGGGTTTGTGCTTTGCGCCCTATTGAAAATTTCATTGAAATCTTCTAAATATTCAAAGGTTGACCGCCGTGGATCTGTTAAAATAATTATTAATATGTGGAAAAAACACTAAGATGTTCACTGCCAAACATGCTTATTACCGGATTCATTTCTATCAATGACTAATTTATAACTTCTTAGTAGAACCCTCCATCTATTTTCCACGTTATTTTCTTTAAAGCTTGTGCCAAATTCCTCATTAATATTTTCGCTGATTTTCTTCCACATCTCTTTCTTGTTTCGTACATTCAGCGAACGCAATTGAGGTACGTATAATTTATAATAATTTATCAAGGATTTGGTCCGTTCTATGGTCCAGACCGTATCCTGCGGCTCACGTACCTGTACATCTGGCATTATCAAAAATTCTTCCAATTCTTCAAAATAATAGCAAATTTATTCAAACTTAGATATTAAAAATGTTTATAATTTTTAATTTAATTTATAAATACCTCTCTCCATTTTTATAGTCAACTAAATCTATATTTAAAATATATAGAATAAAAATAAATTTATGAACGTTTTCATCAACTATCTTGTACACTATAATAATGAGAAATACCACCTTAAATAATAAAAAACTCGTTTTGTACAAAAAAATGTTTTTCTTTACCTAAAGATTAATCATTTCCACTTTCACATAATTTTCCCTTTTACCGTTTTTTATTGCATTAAATTCCAACAACTATTTTCTTTAATTTGAATAATTTTCAGCATTAACTTGTAACATTTTACAGATCATATTCTAATAATAATAATAATAATTATTATATATAATAATAATTATTATTTTATATAATAATAATTATTATTTTAATACATAAATATAAGTTTAATATATATATATATATATATATATATATATATATTAAACACATTCAAATAAAATATAACTTAATTATATCAATGAATTTGCTTTTTAATATTTCCTAGTTATATATCGTTATGTCGCTTTAATATAATATTCTACAATATTTGCACTCCTGTAAATTCATTAAATTTTTATTGTTCTATTTGAGATTAAATAACATTATATTTTAATCGTATTAAATTACGGAGTTTCTGTTTGTGCCGGGTACATTGTCTAGGATGATAGTTTGGTTTCAAACTCATCGGACTGCTTGATGGAACGCATTACTGACAGTCCGCAACAGTTTGAAATCCGAAATTTTGGATGGAACAGAAAAAAGTGTTCTGCGCATGCGCGGACAGTTCCGGACTGTCAGATTGGCTCGGATGGAACCATGGCCGGTAATCTCGGAACAAACGTCTGTAACCCGAGTTTAGTTAGAGCCCCTGCCGCCGGTCGCGCTTGTCTTTTTTTTTTTTTTTTTTTTTTTTTCACTTTGAAATCGAATTTGACATATGACAGATACGTAAATCAAACATGGCGTCCATTGTAATAAATTTTTCATGAAGAGATAACCTAGACAATATAATAAATGCTTGTTAAAGTAAAAAACAAATAAGCTGTCGAAGTGCATTGTTTAACGATGAAGAAATACCAAGAAAAATGCATGTATTATGTAGTTCCAGCGAGAAACGACGAAGTAAAAGTAAAATAGTTAATAATATTTGCCGGCTTTCAATCTAAGTGAGTACTTTTATTAATATGCATACTTCGAATTACTTTCATTTGATTGTACTATTCTGATATGATTTTTCATTACAGTTTAATAATTCAGAAATAATTGAGACATTTAACTATATCAATACTAGAAATTTTAAGGTTATAAATAGATAGAGAGAATTCCTGTCAGCTTTCTGAAAGGTATGTTATTAAATAACTAAATATAAATTATTCTTGTTCTAATAATGTAGGATCATAACTAATAATTCTACATTTTTTCAGCAGTATAAAAGGAAAATACGTTTAAATGTAAAATGTTTAGACGGTTTACTAAACACATTCACAAGTATACAGGTATTGATACGAGATGAATGAATACACAGGAAAAAACAATAAGAATGAAGTCTGAAATGTGCTGAAATCTTTGCTGATCTCCCACTAATATTGAACAGTAGGACTCGTAATTATATATTAAGTCAGTTTGGAGAACATACTAAAAACACTAATGATATAATCGTAAGTGGAAGGAAATTCTCAATTAATGGTGAAATTCTAGCTAGTGCAAAGGTTAATTTAGGTTTGGCTATGTCACAAGAAAAGTTTTTAAGTATTAATAATTTTATTGATTCATTGATATTACAAGAAATATTATTATCTGTGTTGTTTAATGATGATAAAGGGAATCACATTGTATAGATTTTCAGGAACTGTCAAATGACAGGCAAAGTATAATCATGATTAATGATAAAATTCTACCTAGTGCAAAGGGATAAAACACCCTTAATGTGCACTGCTTATTGCATTTGACTATTCTGAAAGAGTTGTCAATAGCTTTACTCTAAAATGTCTTATTGTAGATGCTATAAGAAAACTATTAAGTACTGTTATGATAATATCAATGATTGTTGTATTTCTTTAAGACAATGATAATAATGACATTTTGAACAAACATTTGAATGCACATTAACAATAGCGCAGAAAAGATTCCCAAATAGAGACTGTACATCATAGATATTATGTAACTTAATGTAAATCAAAATAAATATATATGTAAAATATATATATATATATATATATATATATATATATATATACACATGCAGGCCTTATCTATGCATCCAGGTATGAATTGTGGTTATATATGTATATGTATATATATAAATAATATCTACTTTCATGTACATTTCTATTCTTTTTGTGCTCAGCTTGAAAGGCTGATATGCTAAAATGATATTACACACACATATATATATGTATATATATATATATATATATATATATATATATATATATATATATGTTAAAGTAGTTAATTTTGATGTTGAGAAATATGAGTAAGTTCTTCAAGGGCATACATCAAATAAAAGGCAAAGATTTAGAAGTTAATCTTTAATTTTTCCAAATGTTTCGACATAGTATTTTATGTCATCATCAGTGGATCTACAGAATGAATATTGAAAAATTAATATAAACTAGGAAAAAATGACAGAAATTGGAAAAAGAACTATAGATATAAGTAATATAATTATAACAATAACAATTATACTTAACAGATAGATAAACAAGAGAAATGAAAAGTAAAAAGAAATATATACAAACATACAAAAGCGTAATATATATACATAAATATACACACAAACAAACGTGTATATATGATATACATGTAAAAACACGTACACATATGCATATATACATACGAACAATACATATATATAAACATATACATACGGACATGTACATATGTATATATACACATATATACATACATACACATACACGTATACACATATACATACATACATATATATACACATATATATATATATATATATATACATATATATATATACATACATATGCAATATGTATGTATTGCATTATATATATATATATATATATATATATATATACATTGTGGATAGCGTGTACATTTATGTACATTTTTATGCTTTTCGCACATAGTTTATACAGCTTACTACCATCTATTATAATCATATATAATGTTATATATATATATATATATATATATATATATATATACACATTGTGGATAATGTGTATATTTATGTACATTTCTATGCTATGTGTGCATTGTTTATAAAGAGAACTATGTAGATATAATGTAGAATGTTTTTGTGAAAAATAAATGCTTTTAAATTTTTTTTTTTTTTCAATTTTTCTTTTTTTAAATTTTGAATTAAAACGGTCCATATAATTTTGGTTCATTTCTATAGTATTTTTTATACGCACCCGTTCAGGCGACTAGTGCCATCTGTAGCGGGGGGCTTCAACTAACACAGGAATGTGGCAACGAAATATGGCCCGAGAGAGCGATCTATATACTCTTCTTTTATCTATGGATGGAACGAACTCATGATATTCTAGTAGTATTGCAGACTTGCAACCGTTAGTTGCACACTTCATGTTGCGTTGCCTGTGTGCTGCGCAACTTAGAACGTTGTTTTATGTCGTTTAAGGTTAGATAAATAGGTTTCCCAATTAAATTCTAACCCATTTCTTCACATCAATTTATGTTTGTTCTTACATGTATTTTTTACACTTTTGCAGTCATATACATCCCGACACCTTTCACTATCTATACTGACATCATATCATTATAATGTATGAAGAATTTGTAACTTTGCATAAACCACAACTGTTGGCATGTGGTGTTCCTGAAATATATTGGCCCACTCTTTATAAAAAGTTAGAAAGTGATGATTTAGAATCAAGCAACGTCTTCCAAGTACTGCAGATAGATTATGCGGATGATGTAAAACAACCTGGAGATCCTAATTTCACCGTTCAGGTAACTCATGAGCAGGGTATCAGTAATAATGATCCGCAAGATATATTTTTGATTGATCATGCTTGGACCTTTCGAATCAGTGATAGAAGAAAATTGCTCTCAGAAATTCCATCACTCAGAGATCGCATGGCCAGCATGTTGGGAATAGATAATGTAAATGATATAAATGAGGTCATAGAATGTATTTGCAATGAAATGTGGAAATATTGTTTATACTATACCATGAGTGGTTTAAGTTCTGACATTGAGCATAGTATGCCTGTTTGGTATATGATGGATGAACTAGGATCTAGGATTCAACATAGTGATAATCCTAATGTTATTGTAACACCATTTTTATATATTACGAAGCAAATCACTTATAGCATTTTATTTCCACTAAGAAGTATTGCCCAAAATGAATATCTTCTGAGAGATTATGTAGTAGGAATTCCTATTGAAAGTGAATATCGAAAGGCATTGCTTCATCCTTGGCACCCATGTGATTTTACAATGGAAAGTTTTACCCAAACTACACCTTCGAAAGAATATTTTTTAAGTGGTAGGATTGATGAAACATTACCTGTTGTTGAATCTTTTCCCACCTTTTGCTCAAGAGCACTTAAGGTTTTTACACAATATAAATATGTACACAAATATCTGACTCATCCTAATTTTGAAATATGTGATGATGAATCATCAGCGGATATATTATGGTATACACAACATTTTAAAAACTATGAAGAGTTATCACTTAATAGACCTAATACATTTGTAAACCAGTTTCCATTTGAAAATGTCATAACAATTAAGGATTTATTAAGTGCCATATGCCGTATTGATAACATTGAACATCATGATATAAATTCTTTGGACACTTATCCAGAATGGCTTCCAACTACTTACAATTTAGAAACTGAGCTTATACAGTTTGTAAGTTATTTTCAAAATAGACTTAAAAAAAAGCTAGATAATACATGGATTTTGAAGCCTTTTAATTTAGCTAGGGGTTTAGACACCCATATCACAAACAATTTGAATTGTATATTGCAAATTTGTAGATCAGGACCAAAAATTGTACAAAAATATATAGAAAATCCTGTATTATTTTTAAGACCCGATACAAATATAATGGTAAAGTTTGATATTCGGTATGTAGTGTTATTAAAATCTATAAAGCCATTAGATGTTTATATTTATAACAATTTCTTCTTACGTTTTGCTAATAAATCATTTAGTCTTGATAATTTTGATGAATATGAAAAACATTTCACAGTAATGAATTATGATGAAAATGCAACATTATTCCATCTCAAATGTGAAGAGTTCAAAACAGAATGGGTTAAACAATATCCAGACCATAATTATACCAATATAGAAAAAATGATTAAGCAAATGCTCAAACAAGTATTTTTATGTGCAACAAGTAAGGATCCACCAATGGGAATTAAAGAAAACCCACAATCAAGAGCTTTATATGCAGTTGATTTAATGTTGAATTGGCACCAAACGCAAATTAGACCAAAACTTCTGGAAGTAAATTGGATGCCAGACTGTAAACGAGCTTGCGAATATTACCCTGACTTTTATAATGACATTTTTGAATTGCTATTCTTAGATAAAACCAATACAAATTTTCAAAAATTATAGCTTTGATATTTTTAATAGATATATAATAAACTATTTTTGAACTAAAAATGGAAGTTTTTAATTGCAGCAAATTGAAGAGAATAAGATAAATGAATGAATATAATAAATAAAAAAAGTTCAAATGTTCATATTTAACATTTAATATTAGTTTCACTCATATTACAATATTACTGTAATCTCTCACCAATTCGACACTGTGATAGATCGATACCTCCTGTAATCCAACACCCTCGCGACCGAACTTTTTTGAAATTTTAACTCTATTTTCTATATCATATGATATGAAAGATATTTATGCATTTACTTACTCATTTATTTGCTGTGTTTTAAAAATTGTTTTGTGAGTTCTTACACTTCTTTCTATATAGTTGCTATAACTAAATCCCATTCAACATCACCAATCACAGGTTTTAAGAAGACTTCCTTTAGAATTTGGCTATCCACAGCGCACAAACTCCTGAGAGCAATAAGCATTTGGCCGCATCTCGTCCACCACTCATTTCTTTTCTCCAAATTGTATTGTTGTAAGGCCAGCAGAGTACTAACAGTTGAAGAATCTGATAAACTATCGGTTTCTGGATTCAAGCTGAATTCTATAAAAATATTGAAAAGCTACTCGAAAGCACTATCTTCGTAATAAAATAAATAGTAGATCAGCATTTATTATAAAAAAACAATGTATTTTAAATAATAAGTTATGTACAAACCTTTTCTACAAAGAATTAATGTGACCATAAAATGTAATTCGAAATCATCTGCTTGCAAGTTTGAACAAATCTTTACAGCTTGTTTTAGGCAATTGCCTGTATTTGTATCCAACAGTTCATAAGCTCTGCAAATCATTCCCATATAAAATCATTCAGAATATAATGTTATTATAAACTTAATAGTTTCAAACCTCAAATAAAAATTTGTAAGGTCTACAGGCCAGTAGACTGATTTCAATATAAATAATTCATGCCAAACATATGCCAGTAAAGTATCTTGCTGCTTTTTGTCATATTTCATGAATGTGGAATTATTTCGCGCTTGTTTCACAGAAGTAAGGAGAATTTGTGCAATTATGTCCAAAAATACATGGCCTATAAAAAAATTATGATATATTTCAAATACAATATTTTATGTTTCAATATCAACAGAATAAATTGAATAAATTTATAACTTAAGTTATACCTTGCATATCAACAGCACATTTTAAAGTAAATTGAGTTTTGCGGCTGCTTCGAGAAAAATTTGCAATTTTGAATTTGAAACGATTTTGCCTACAATCTTCATGTGGTATCATATTTAATATTTTTTTCTTTGGTTTTCTAGGTCCCCTTTCTTGCTGAACAGCTGTAGTTGACAATATTTTTATTTTTATTTAAATTGTCATATAAGCTGATCTTAGCGATATATCTAGATAAGCTTTTACCTGTTGTATTCATTTTTGCTGATAGGCACCTTTGAAATCGACAATAAGGACACCAGTTTCTTCGTGCTTTATCTATAACGCAATTTTCTTTTCCTGCTAAAAATGAAGAAATATTTGAATTTTGAGTTTTGCTCTAAAAAATTCGAATACTAAAGTTGAAGAACCTATCCAAAAATCAATTTTCTGCCTAAACGTAAATATCCGTGACAATTTTGCAATCCACATATTTTTTGGTGGCATTGGACGTTTTTCTCTAGTTTTTAGTAACATAATATTTATGAAGATAGTGGTGAAAATAATTGATTTCTTCCAACCAATTTCTATTCTATGCCGACTGAGATTGTCCAAATTGGATTGATTTGTACTATTATAAATTATTTGTAAGTCAACTTACCTATGCACGTGTAAATAGCTGATCTTCTGACGCTTCTTTTGAAAAAGCAGGAACATCCATCGCAGCAAATAGCTCCATAATGTCTTCCAGAGGCCCTATCGCCACAAACGCTGCATAGAAGATCTGTTGATGATGGGCCAAGTTTAATACATTCAATTGGGTATACAAAAATAACACTTGAATATCTAATATTGACGTGGTTGTTTATATATTGCATTATTTGTTTATTTATATTTCCATTAAAATCATAATTTTTACCCATTTCTCGGAAAATATTGGAACTGCAAAGATTAACACAACTGGTGTTAGCGGAGCAAAGCAATTGTGAATACTATTTGATGTTGGCGATCAAATGCGATCAAAAAATCAGCTTCGCATATAATTCACCTACAACTAACTATTATAATGACCTGTAAAAGTAAATATTATCGTGGTGCGATATTGTAGAGGCATGTCAATCATCATCTTAACATAAATATATCAGACTTTGAATTATCATTGATGGTAATAAAACACCGATGATTCTAATAAAAATAAACTTAAAAAAACTAACAATTCTTGGCATATTAATTTTAGAAATATTTTATAATATCTTTGATGGTAATTATATATTAAGGTAAGGAACTTGGAAGATGTTAATCGAACAATACTCTACAAAAACCTATTAATATTAACGTTGCTCTATCTGCATTTTTTAACTTCCCTTATAGTAAGTTATAGTAAGAGGCCAAAAATCGAAAATGATTTTTTTTGTATTCATTCAAGTTTTGAAGATTTTTGAATATTTTGGTATACCTTGAAAAAATGGATGTGTGTGTGTAAGTTTTGTGTGTCCGCATTTCTTCGTCCAAGTTTTCGGGCGCACGGATCAACCGACTTGAATGGTACTAAAAACATTCAATTCCAATTGATAAGGAGATGTGCTGATTAGTTTTTGGCAAAGGTAGGTCCAGACGTTACGGATATACAAAGCAAAAAGTGCAGAAAACAGAAATCGAGTTTTTGATAGTACGAATCATCCGATTTGAATGATCTAAAAAACATTCAGTTTGTAATGATGGGGAGGAGTGGTGATTAGTTTTTGGCAAAGCCAGGCCCAGACGTTTAGGAGATACCGAGCAAAATGTGCAAAAATATAAGTTTTCGAGAGAACTAAGCATTCGATTCAAAAAACTTTCTGCTGGTTTTGATAAAACGATTGCTTTTGGAAAAAGAATTTTTTTAACTTCCAAAAAAATTTTTTTTGAATATCCAAAATAATTCCGATTTTAATTTTAATTCTAGCTACAGTTCTAAAGTTCACTAATATACTTCAAATGAATAATTTTAACTGCTATTCAGTTAATAATTCTTATAAATATTATACAATATTCTTCATTTTAAATTTGATTGATCGAGTTTTGTTTATTTACTTCTCTGTAAACATATATTATATAAGTTATTAGATCTCTGTAAACATATATAAGAGTTTCAGTATTTATAATAATCGATTAGAAAACATTTAATATTCTTCGAATATTTCATTATGGTGCAGAAAGTTCCAGCAATTTGCCATTTTAACTTGATATTTTAACTACCATCAAATATCTGAAAATGTTATGTACAAATAGTATGCTTATATGAAACAATATGTTATAAATGAGAAAATTGCCGTATGAAAATTCTCAAGACGAGTTAAAATAGCCTCTCACATTAATAATTTTGAATTTTTATTTTCAATTTTACGAAAATTAACAAAAATCATGAAAATGAATTTTTTGACTGCTAATTTTGATTAAATAAATTGATTCATTTAAAAAGGTCTGATTTTTTTGGATTCCTAAATAGTATTTGTTATTGTTAAATAAAATAATTTTTTCACCGCCCCGGTTTTTACTTGAAAAAATATGGTCACCTTACTAAAAATGCATATTACGTACGTATGTAACCGTAGTTTTTCCATTTGGATAGCCCTGCTCTAAAGCGTGTTGAGGTGTTAATTTATTATGCGAAGAAAACGCGTAATCAGTGCTCAAGTCTGGGAAAATGTTCAACTTCAACCCTCTTCAACCATTCTAATATGGTTATTTTTATGGACATGACACGATGGCACGCGCCTGACAAGCCGTAATGATTTGTTTGGCAAGTCAGGGCACAAAGGGTCGCATAATAAAAAAAACAAGATCAACATTTTACAATTTCAGAGCCAGTGGAGGTGTAATGGTTAAGAACGTTGGCAAACACTTGCTACAAGTTTGGTACTAAACTCGGCCAGCCCGATATCAAGCAGTGTGATATCAAATTCTACTTAAACAAAATAAAATGTCGAGTGGAAATTCTTAATTTAAAGCAGCTCAAAATGAAGACATAAAGTCAAGCCTTACAATATCAGTAAGTCATATTATTATCAATAAGGTGATCATATTTTTTTGAGTCAAAACCGGGACGGTAATTTTAAATTATGCTAATCCGAGATAGGGGAAGGGAATGAATGCTAGAAAAATTAATATGATTGTAAAATAACAAATACTATTTAAGAAGTTAAGACAAATGGGCCTTCTTTAAATGAGTTTTTTTTTAAATCAGATTTACTTTATTTTTTTCATAATTATTTAAAAATAATTAGCACTGATTTGCTTTATTCCAGATAGTCAAGACGTTCATTTTCATAATTTTTGTTAATTTTCGTAAAATTGTAAATAAAAGTTCAAAAATATGAATGTGAGAGGCTATTTTAATCCGTTTTTTTCATATAAGCATACTAGTTGTACATAACATTCTCAGATATTCGATAATTAGTTGTAATTTCATTATCAAGTAAGAGCCAAGAATCAATTTAGACTTATAGTTTTTAGAAACCCGGGACAATCCGGGTTATCAGAAATCAATCCGGATTGTCAGAAAATAAACTCTTGAAATACAAGACACTTAGTTATTAAACCAATAGGTACTACGGTCTACATCTATGGAGTGCGGCTAGTAAATCAAACATAGCAATTCTACAGAGGTTCCAGAACAAAAATTTTATACTGATCGTAAACTATGTACCAAACTGATTAATACACCGATACCTGTATATTCTAACTGTTGAAGAAGAAATTAACCACTTCTGCTCCAGGTACATGATTTGGTTAAGTCAACATTCAAATCTACTGGCGTGTGACCTGCAACTGAAAAAAGAAGCTTTAGTAAAAATTTAATAACAGAAGATGCTATTAAAGAACAGTTATATTTTAAATTTTATTGTCAAATGAAACAAAAAAATAGTTCGTACCTGGTTTCGGCGATTGTTATAGAAAGCGCGAGCGATCATATATGTTTATTCTTCGACACCGCAAGTACTTCAGTAATCGCACCCTAAATACACAACCTGACAGAAAACTACGCCTCATTTAATACATGACCCTCCAAATGGTAATTATTAATTATAGATAAATTATCGGACTTCTACCATATCTTGTCATGATTGGATAATATTCAAATACGTATTACATCCATTATTAAAAAAAATTAAATGAAAAAATATTTGAGCGTTTCAACTTTTAAAAGACTTTGTTTAATAAGATCACTTATCAAAAATATTTTGGAAATTTATTTGAACTCCTTACTTTTTAAAATATTGTGTTATTGATCATAATAGCTAGAAATTTTCGTTAGAGATTTAAAGAAAATAATAAATATCATTTATAATCTCCTCTATTATTATTTAATATTTATTTTGAAAATTAATTTAATCCCGTATTTTTAATAGAATTTGGTTTAATAATTATCTTTAACTGGCAACTATGGGTCGCGCCGCCATTTCTAAAACTATATATTTTGATGTGTATATATGTATAGATGTATATTGTTACCCAATAAACAAATTATCTGAAAATATTAATTTCTCTATCTTTTATATTTGTGTGGGGTGAAAACTTGTAATCATAAATGGGGTCGTCAAAAAGCTCGCAATCATAAATGGGGCCGCGAGTGACAAAAGTTTAAAAAGCCCAGCTCTAGATCTGTTTTCGAGTTTTCAAAAATATGCTAAATATCATATATAATCTAAAAATACTTCATTAATCTTTAGTATATTCCGCATAATAATCGATATTAGGTTTTTTGAAGACCTTGATTTTGAAAGATTGTGTTAATATTTAATGAATTACCCCGGTAACAGGTCTATTTTTATGTATAGTCAAAATATATTAGATTAGTATATTTGGCGTGTATGTATAGCAGAAATTTCCCTGCAAGTCCCCTGAAAATTTCATTGAGTTTATATTTGATATCCATAACCGCAAAATTGTTATCATACTGCTTGACATAAAACTGGCCGAGCTTAGGATTAAACCTGGGACTTTGTTTGCGCTATGCACGTTCTTTGCCATTATACTACGATGGGCTCATAACTTCAATTACTTATAATCTAGATAAAATAGAACATAATTATTAACTATTATTATTAATTTATTATTAGTTAATTACTCTTCGAATATAAATTACCTATTATAGCAAGAAGAAATACAAAAATACAATAAAAATTGCTCCTAACGTTTGTTTATTAATAACATTGCATGTGTTTGTAAAAAAATACCTAGTCATTAATAATATTTAAAAATTTGTTTTAACTATTAAAATCAATTACTCGGGAAGCCCTATATATAATCCCTGCCAGTGGCGGATCCAGCTTTGGCCCCAGGGGGGGTCACATAATTAAATTATGGTTTCGCAATACGATTAGAAAATCCTTAAACTTTAGGAGCCTTTAACTCCGCCGTCTATAATAAGTTACATATTGAATTTATAGAATGTGTTTGGTAACAAAATATAAAACTAAAATCATTATGAAGTCATTTTATTGCTGAATTAGTGTTTTATGTAAGTCTTAAGACAAGCTCAGGGGGGGGTCATAACCCCGTGACCTACCCCCTGGATCCGCCACTGATCCCTGCAAGTGCCATGTACAAATTGAATTAACCAACAATCCTATATCGAATGTCTTTGCAACGCCATTTCAAACTAATGCTCCCAGTTTTGTTTTCAAAAATTTTATAATGGACGGTAGTTATAATTAAATAATACTTATCGGTTCATGACATTAAAAAATAATTTCAACTAATATTTTAGATACGTTATCCGGCGACGTAGTAAAAACAGGCAGTTATCGTTTTTCTGATGGATCTCGATATTTTGGGGAGTGGAATAAAAGAGGCCAAAAACATGGAGTTGGACATTTGTTATTTAAAAATAGAACAAGATATGATGGCCAATTTGCAAACGGGCTATTTAGTGGATTGGGAGTACTTTGTTTTGCGGATGGATCAAAGTTGGTATAATTTATAAAAAAATTAAGTTGTAAGTTAATTGTTATTAACTTGTGAGGTTGAAGTAGATTATGGTTGTAAACTAATGTATATATAATATTAAGTGTGATGTATCATCATAACTAATTAAAATCATCTGATGGAATGAGATATGAGGGCGAGTTTCGTGGGGGGCGTATCTGGGGTCTCGGTCTTGTCACTTTTGCAGATGGTACACACGGTTTTCCAAGATGCGAAGGATACTTCAAAGATTGTAGGTTGATGAGGCGTAGAAAATGCCCTATAATTATATTGCATGCCCAAGCTATTGGCATGTTGGCTAGGGAATTCACAAAACACAATAATTGATCTAAAAAAATAAAACGTATAAGAAAATAAACATATGGTAATTGTAAGGATAGTATTTTTGACTATGGAGTAAAGTAGCAGAACATGTTTATGAAGCAATGATGTTTATATCATTAACTATAAATAAATGTATATTTAATTTACCTTTGAATTTCACAGTTTTCTCATCTATAAAATCATTTATTAATGTGATTTAAAGATGTAAAAAAATCTTGATGCATAAATATGTTGTTCATAAGAACGTTTGATTCAAGTAAAGATAAAATAGCAAACCAAATTTATGTTTGAAGGATAACCACGGAATTCTATAGTTCATTCGATTATGTCCTTTAATACTAACTGTAGTTGCAAATCTAATTTTTCATTTCAATTTTGAAATTATACAAATAATAAAACTTAAGCAAACAGCGTTGCTAATGAATAAATATTTATTAATAACTTTACAAAATGCATCAATAATAAAATTTATAATTGCACATAACGGAATACATTTTGTTATATCCATAACATAATACAATTTATATATTACTCTGAATAGATATTGCTAGCAATGATTTGTTTGACTTATTCACATTCTTATCTAAAGAATTTATTTGCATTTTATTACACTAATATCACTTGAATTGGATTAGTTAACATAACATTAAAATTATAGATTAGGTCGAAATACTGTTACATTTTCAGAAAACTCTCAATTAAAATTAAAAATAAATGTTTTATAGACACTTATTTTACAAACTTCCAGTATTTTCTATAAATTAATGTATAGAAAAAGCAATTAAAAATTGCTCTAATTACCATTTCAATCTTAAACGTTTAAAAAATGTCTTTATAAACCGAGAGGAATGTACTAGATCTAATAATGAAAACTGAAATAAAAAACGACTAGTTTATCTTATGGCAAAAATTGAGATAAGTTTTAAGATGTTCGTAAATTTATATACACTAATATCTATAAATAAATGAATAATAAACATGTACAAGATCTGAATTCAAATGAAATAACTATTAAAATAAATTGTGGACAAAAAGAATCACGTAATATTATCTTAACAAAGCTTCATTACCGAATCTTTAATAAAATCACTCAAACACCCATTTATATTATCGTCATTCTCTCTAGAACTAACTATTTAACACTATAATTTAATATATGAGTTGATTAAATTTGTTTTCAACATTAAAATTAATATTTTATCAGAAAATAAGTACTAGTAAAGTTTTTCATATCTGTTTATGGCATTTTCAAATCGAAAGCATTTTCATCACTAAAAAATAGCTATAACAAATTTTATACATCACCTATTTTTTACCAAAAAATACTTTTCATTATAATAAAGAAATGTTCTAGTTTTACATTAAATGCTTCATATGGTGATAGATTGGATATATCCAATATCTATGCCATTCACCACGATTTCCAAGAACTTCTTGTAAATACTGCAAAATAAATTTAAATTAAGAGTAAAAATTTTCTAAGATTATGAGTTATATGTTTATATAAATACAAGAACTAATATGTGTGCTAAACTTACTACTTTAGGCCCTCCACCATATAGTTATCACCAAATGAAAAAAGTATTTTAGTAAATTAAATTAAATTAAATTTGCTTAAGCGGATACCACAATGTTTTTCGATTGAAAACTTATATTTGTATTTTGATTTAAATCGATTTGATATGCCACAAGTCACATTTATCTCATTGATCATTATGTTTTGCATTAGCAAAACCATGTAAAATACTTCTCATATCATAACAAGTTAAAAATACATTGTAAATTGTCTAATGATAATAAATATTTCATTAGCTAATAAAAATTTAGAATAATAATGTCAATTTTTGTATTATTATGAAAGCAGACTTATCACCAATTCAGCAAGTCGTATTAGATATAATTCATCATCCAATTTTCTTCGTATTCTAAGACTTGTCCGCATTCTTAGCCCAGGGTATTAAACCTGAATAATAAATTGTTTAAAAATCGTCACTAATCACACATTAAATAATTAACACTTCAAATTTTCAAACACAAAAATTTGTCAATCTTAATTACATATTGTGCACGAATAAGAAAACTTGTGATTGAAAACTATGAAAATCGTAGAGATAAGCAAATAAATCTTTTTTACATAGCTTCTTGCTGGACAGGTATTTAAACCAAGACGTTTTCAAATTTAAAAAAAATATTTTGATATTTATAATTTAATTATAATTCAGTAGAAATTATTTTTAAAGCTATGAAAAAATAATTCATTTTACTTATGATTTGCGTATTATTATTATTATATATTTGCCTAATAATATTTTATAAAATAAATAGAATTCATAAATATGAAAGTTATAAATTTTCACAAAGAGATAAATACGACGTTAATCATATCTCGCAATCATTCACCTCAATTAATTAATTCAAATGTTAAAAACGTTTTCTTAAACTATATCACACAATCAGATTAAATACTTTCACAACATTAATAATAATTCTATGTACAAATATAAAACAGACAACGTCATAGTATAATAATTAAATTATTATTAAAACTAAGCTACCTATCATTATCACATTCTTTGATTATTTCCTCCCAAACTTTGCAAAATTAAACGTGATTTTAGCACCAATTATTTAAATGAAATTTATTTTTTATAGAATTTTTTGAATAATAAATCCAAAATTCTTAGATCATTTTATTTTTCTGTTTTCTCAAAAAAATTGTTTGAGGTGTAATTGTTTAGGGTCTTGATGCAAATCCTTATTTTAAACGTATCAACTTCGGTAATAATAATTTTGAAAAGTACAAAAATTAAATTTTATAGTTTAAGTTTGGATAAAAAAATATTCACTATGGGCATGGTTAAGTCAACACAATTAAAATAATTATTTTACTCTAATGTAATAATTATCAATTTTCTTCAGTTTAATGAATATACTTGAAAAAGTTTTGAAAATGAACGGAGAAGTATTGAAATGAGTTGTATTTATATCCGAAACAAAAATAGCACTATTAGAGAATCCTAATCAACTCTCATCAATAATTAATTACCAATTAATAACGATGAATCGGATCCAGAAACAACCTGAAAATTTGTAGTAAAATAAAAACATTTCTACAATAAGTCCATGATGTTATTCGTGTGTGTTAGTAAAAATATTTTGGTTATTCGAAACAAGAAAAAAATATGCATGGCAATTGAAAGTAAATATGAATAATTGCTCAATAAGATATATTATTCAAAAGAAATTTAAATGAAAATAAAAATTTAAAAGATAATTAGATAATTTCATGGGCTAGTTATATATAGGTAAAGTTGAGTAAAAATTTACTTGCCACTGATAAGTGCTTTCAAACTTTTAGGTATTTTTTAAATATTGTTATAATATCCTGTGATTTTAGAAATTGAAACATGAGTTTAATTTTTATATGATTCTGCTTAAAATGAAGAGAAATGATACGTTCAAAATACCATGCATATTATTTAATCACCCATCTTCAAATTTCAATAAACTTATTATCTTTCCTATTCCTACAACGTACTCTGTTTTTCAACGAGTGTCGTTTATTATTCGAGGATAGTATTTTTAGTTGTCACAACAGAGTACAAATTTTACTTCTTTGCTTGCCTTTATGTTTTTTTGTGACGTTCGTCTCACTTCCAGCATTTGATGAGGCTTTGATTGTTTGTTGAGAGGCCGATTTTTGATGATCGGTTGCAGTATTGGTTTCAGCATTTTTGCCGCTGCCTGCTGTACTCAAATTGGATGAACTGTATAATGATTTTGATAGGCGAGATCTTACAGTTTTAGGCAAAACTTTGGTTTTCCGCAGACTGTCGAATCTTCGACGGGTCAGTTCCATAGTTGATGGAAACTTTTCCGTCGAGTCGGAATTGTGCGTGCAGTTCAGCGTGGTTACGGTGAATTCTATATCCTTGACGTCTGATGATCCTTAAAATTTATATTACACCTTAACTTGGTAATAATTTGAAGCTACGAGATAACTAGCAAATAATTTAAAACTACCAGCTGACTACGAATTAGTTCAAAACAAAAGTAACTTTTAAGCTAAATTTAGCCTATTTTCAAGTTTTAAATGGAAGTTATATGAAAATTGAAAAAAATTTAAACTTTGCAGATAAAATTTAGAATTGAGATTAAAGATTGTTTAAACCTTATAATTAAAAATTATATTCATTAAGGTGGTCCTTAATATGGACATTTTCGAATTTCCTTGCTCCCAAGGGCTCAAATGGTTCCAAATTGATGAAAAACAATTTTTTGAAAGCTCCTAATATTAACTTTTAGATAGTGCGCAATTCAATCAAACTTCGTATGGAAATAACATAGAAAAAATTTTGAAAATTAAAAAAAAAATTTTTTAGGTATAACTTAGCGACACATTTTGAATAAAACTCATTCATTTGCTCGCTAAATTACATCTAAAAATATCTTTAAAATTTTTGAATTTTTTTTTATGCTATTTCCATACAAAACTTTGATTGAATTTCGCACTATCTAAAAGACAATATTAAGAGCTAAAACTTTGAGAGAATTGTTTTTTATCAATTTGGAACCATTTGAGCTTTTGGGAGCAAGGAAATTCGAAAATGTCCATATTAAGGACCACCCTAATATACATATTATACTTATTGTCTAAACGTTTACTTTCAGGTCTTATTATTTAAGAAGCAATGTCGTACAACTACTTAATATACTATAAAATACTTTAAGTTACTCATTATGAATAAGCTTGATAAGAACCCGAATAAATAATATTAAGTTACAAAAAATTAGACCGATCTCTACTCCCTAACAAGCACTATTCCCAAGTAATATCTTTCATGATCAGTTTATTATAAGCAAGTACATTAGTCAATGATATCTTTCAAAAGCTTTTAAATAATCAAAACCGGTTCAAAATTTTTGGCATGTTAAATATAAAATTATCAAGTCAAATTTTGTGCTCTTTACTGTATCGAATACAGCTTGTTCTTTCACATGTTATATTTCAGCAATAAATGATAAATAAATATCATTATCATCATATAAGTAGAGAAATTGATAGATTCTAATATTTTTTAAATTTAAAAATTTATGATTTTATATATTTTTTGTTTTTATATTTTTCATAAAGTGAGGTGTGAAAATGTAAATAATGAAAATATTGTAAATTTTATAAATTAATAAGTAAGTAGCATCTTCCATTAAACACAAAATAGAAAATAGACAATCAAGTCATTTGTAAAAATCATTTTCCTACCAGTAAATTCTTCGACAGGATTATCAATCGTGTCATGATCTATCCACGTGAGACCCATTTCAACTTTTTCTGCTAAATCTTGCCAATGTTGACGATTTTCTAATGTCCCATTATATAAAGGTCTAATCCAAGGAAATGTATCTGATAAAACGCGATATAGAGGAAGGCATATTACGTCTATGAAACCCACTTGCATTTGGGGGAGTTCGTCTTTGCGCTCTCTGAAAAAATAAAAAAAATAGAATAGAAATAGAATAGATAATTTTCTCAACTACATATTACATATTACACACACCATAGGTCAAAAAATGTCGCTTAGGCACATGTGATTTTTGGATTCTAGGGATCAAACTAGGATACTTTGCTGAAGAAACCGTACCTATAAAATTATTTTACAAGGATGGCCGATCCACCCATGCCCATGGTTCAACACCTGATACACCTCCCTGAGCGTTTTTTTTTTAATTTATCCCTTATTTTGGCTCAATGCACGGGGCATCAGAATTCATTTTAGAGATATGGTTTCTTCAGCTAAGTGTCTTATTTTGATCCTTAGTATTCGAGAATCATATGTGCCTAAGTGACCTTTAAATCGACTCGCCCTCATATATATATATATATATATATATATATATATATATATACAATAAAATGGCGATTGCATGCAAAGAACAAAGAAAAAAGAGTTACTTGGGGAACCTGTCTAGAACACAGAAAGTTATTAGACTGTAATTAGGTTCGTGTTTATAGTAATCTGCGGGGTTAGTTTCAAATTAAGGTAGGATTAAGGTTACGATGTATTTCTAGGCCATTAGGCTGGAATAAATAAATGAATTTAAAAAAATATGATAAAATATTTTTGGGTATCCATTAATTAATTTAATAAAGAAGGTCTTCATTCTTCAATCTGACTAATCTTCAGTGCATCCAAATAAAAAGGATAAATGAAAAAATAATTAACAAGTAAAAAGTTAATATCAAAATGAAGTAAATAAAACAAATAAAAATACCAGTCAAAGTATTTGCGATCACACCATGGTAATTGTTTCAATGCGAATGAATACATTCATTCCACAAATTCCTTGTATGAGACTATCCATTCAAAGACCGTACAAACAACTCAATCCTTTATTACCTGTCCATCATGGCGACAGGTTGCTGGTTAAGCTGAAGCCTCTCCAAATCGCCCTGATCGAAGAACTCGTCAGCTACTAGCTTTGCTACGCGGTGTTGGATTTCCCATGGCTTCGCTATGGCACTCACGTCGCAGGCTGTCATCATCATGCCGCACAGTACTGGAATCGAAACAGAAGTATTAATAGAAATTGAATATAGTATAAAGATAAATCCGTAAAGAATAAAAATTCCAGAAAAAATTAAGTTTTATTACATTTTTTCGAACATTTTTCGCTTTGACACAGGACTTAACTATTTAAAAGTCGGATTTTTTTAAAACCATGGCAAATTGTGTTAATGTTTTGATAGCGGTCCTAGAAATGGTATTCAGAGTTATGGTTCTAAAGTTTAAATGAACAAAATTAATAAAAATCAATCACAATAATAAAAAAAATAGTCATAATTGCATCAAAGCTCTAGGCTGCACTTAAAAGCTTGTAATTTTCAAACAACGTGAGATAATTGTTTTTCCTAATTTTTTTTCAGCATAGTTAAGGTCAATACTATCACCTTATTCCACACCCTATATATATATATATATATATATATATATATATATACATAAATCAGTCAGTAAAATAATTTTTAAGCTTTTTTAATCATTTTCGAAATATTCGCTTAAAATCGTTTTCAAATTTTCACGTATATTTAAATGCATACATCTTGAAAAGTATTTAAATTACATTCGTAACATTTTCATAGCAGATTTTAAATTCTTAGAGCATAAATATATTATATAAATTTCAATATATAGATTTGTTTGCGATTCCTTTATCAGCTTGGAATACACATGATATTTATGAATGTTAAAAAAAACAGGTGAAAGCATTTAGTAAATTTATAAAAAACAAACAATTTGTATTGATAAAAAAGCTCGATCATTAGAACTTAACTCGCATTTATATATTAAAATTTTTAAGCATTCCTCCAATTTAATAAAAGACATATTTAAGTAATTTAGAACTATGCATACAGGCCTATATTTAATACATGAATGTTTAATGTGAAAAATTTTAATATATATTTGTTCTTATTATTTATTAATCATTATAAGAAATACTCTTTACTTATACATTTATATTTAAATAAATTATTCATAATCGCTAATATTGATTCGATTAAAACATCTAAAGAAGGCACGTTCTCGCCCTTTTGTTTTATTTTCAATTTCTTAGTTTTTTATAATTAAATTTTATATTGTTAGTTTTAAAACTAATTTATTATCATTTTTAACATTTACATAGTATTATAAAGTTTGTCTGTGCCATTTGCGAAGTTTTCAGCAATAAAGAATCGAAATTTCAAAGCTCGTGACGCGAATTAATTCTTTCCACTCGGATGCCGCGTGGGAAGTGGAGTGGAAAGGGTTAAACTATTTCATATTGGAAAAATGACTATTTTATCGAAATTGTGATTTTTTAAATATTATAGTAAAAACTAACCGAAACTAACCGAAAACTAACCGTTGATAAAAACTAACCGAAATATAGAATTTTGTTTATAAATGTTGTGAAAGGATAGATGCCCATGAAGATGTTCCAAAAGTAAGTCATGCGCAAATTGTTTCGTCCGAAAATGAAGATCCTCGGAATTTGGGGTTGGTATAATATATATATATATATATATATATATATATATATATATATATATATATATTATGGGTATTTAGTGCTGTTTAAATACATTTCGCGACCACCCATTAAACATTATAGTCCTATACAACCTCCATATATCATTCCATCGTGACTTACATTCTAATATAATGGTCAGCAGAGTAGAATATTCATATGTAAAGCAGCACATATGTTGTCTTGTTTAATTGAATTTGAATATTCATGAGTTTCTTTATTTTCCTTTGTTTTCTGCGTACAATGTACGAATATAATTTTGTTATTTTATGAATATATTTAACCGCATTTCATTTTTGTTATCTCTTCATATTTTGTTTTCAGTATAGTATGAAAACAATTTTTCATGCGTGAGAGTTTCGAAAACAAAAAATATATACAGATACAGCTTTTATTCACAAACATAAATATTTGGTGAAATGAAATTATTTCTGAACTAACTGTTTGTGGATTTATAAAATAAATAAATAACATGTATAATACATACAAAGTTTGGGTGATACGTGGCATAGAGATTGGATTTTGTTAGTAGAAGTTGTCAGAAAAATATGCACAAAAAAAAATTAATAGAATAGTATCAATTCAAATTTTATGTTAAATTATGCTATTTTGGAAGATAAAAAGTGATCAATTTTAGCGGATACATAAATAAAAAAAATTCATTATACGTAGAAGAATATTAATAAACTACTTTGCCCAGCATCGTAATAACATTCGGAATTAGAACACGCTTTCAAAACTAGACTAATAATATAATTTAATACTTAACTAAATACTTTTGGAATAAAATTGATTCAATCAGTGAAGATTAGAACCGATATGGAGAAATTTTAGATTATTTTTTTTATCAATCACCAAACAAAATGAAATACTTCAGCAACCGCATCGCAATCTAAAATTGATTTTTCCGTTACTAATGCTGACTGGTAAAAACTGTTTTCCGCAATATAAATAGTCCACATCATCAATTTCCACTTACGTTCTTTTTTGTCTTCACTCTGCCAATCGAATTCGCCATTTTCAATCAGTTCTAAAAAGTTATTTCTCTTCTTAAAATACATTGCTAAATCCGTAGACAATATTGCTGTTTCCACAATTTTCATAACGCTGCGATAATCCTGCGGCGAGAGTGCCTGTCGAAAATAAATTTAGATTTAAAATTTTATGATATTTTATACCTAATATGTATATTACTATCTCACCTGAAATATATTATTGCTTTCACTATTCAATATCATAACACATTGATCGAAGTGATGATGTTCCATGGTACTAGTAGAATATAGTATTGCCAACGGACTTTCAATTTTCGTTTGAAATGCGTTATTTGTCCCTCGGTGATCTAAATCATGGCAAAGACAAGCGACAAGAAGTCCCAGAATTTCTAAATCTGTCATAAATCTTTCCATTTTTCCTGTTTTTAACATTGCGAACATTGTCTGAGCCACATTAAAAGCGTGCCTCCAATTATGATATTTTACTGGACGATAGTTCTTTCTGACACTGAGAATCCAACGACATAGAACCTGGTAATAGATATATTAAATTTACATTCTAAAGCCTATAGATCAATATTTTAGATAAAACAGACATTTTTCAATCAATAGTTCGAAATTTTTTAAATTTATCGAGGCCAATATAGAAAACATATAAAACACTCTGTTTAAAGATCTCTTCTATCATCGGCGGCCGACATAAATATACCAATATAATATACAAATTGTATCAATGTTCCATAACAATAAATAATAGTGAATAAAATCAAACTGCACTTATTCAACAATTGCTTCATATCTATAATATTTTAAATTCCTGATTATTATGAATTTCAATACTTACATCATACGGAACATGAAATTGTTGCACTAGATTACATTGCAAAAACATTCTAATTGTTGCTCTGCACGTATCATCATCCGATAATCCGAAATCTGCAATTAATATTATTTTGATATATTTTACTAAAAAGTTATTGCTAGCACATATTATTCTACAATGAGAGATAAACTACTCTTGTAAAACAAAAAAATATAGTATATTTTAATGATTTTAAAACAATGAATTTGTATTACAAGATAGTAGATAATAACTTTAAATATAGGAATATTAATTGAAATATTGAATAGGCTGCCCAACTCCAACTCGAATTAAAGTTTTGCATATTGCTAGAAAAGTTTTTCTTTTTGCTCAAATGGTTTATTTTCAATTGCAAACATGTTTGCATTTGTATTTTCAAGTAGCAATGGATACATCAAAGGCGATGTATATGATCGATAGTGCATCGGTTCAGATGCCAATATATGGAAATTTTGTGGCTAAGAAATGGATATGTACCTATTTATGAATAACCGTAACCCGTATTGATAATAATAATGATTATTTCAAGTTCTTGTAGAAATATGTACATGTATGTATGTATATATTTCATTTACTTATTCTTACCGATAAATGTAAAATTATATAAATTGTAAGTATCGGCCGACGGAATCGGATCCTTAACCAGTTTCATAGTGTCCTCATTGGGTGCCGTCGCGTGGTAGGATAAGCATTCAAGGGCCACTTTCTGCTTGGCCATCAATTTGCAGGCGCTCTCGTACATCTGTGTGTTATGAATACCCAAACCACAGAATATCGCAAATGCTTCGAATATGCTGATATCGCAATCACTGAACTGGCTTCCGTTATCCTGTTAAGGAAAGGACAAATAATGTGTAGGATTTCAGAGAAAAATCTATAATCCATATATATGTGTCTCTTGAAGAAATAATTTGATGAATTCATAGAATTTATGCATAATTTTAGATGTTTTACGAAATAATTTGGTAAGAATTCCAGAACGAAAATCTCTACTCGTAATGTATGTGGTTCTTGCAAAAATATTTTTAATTGTACATTATATGTGTGAGCAATTTTATGTACCTACTGAATTAACGAGAGGCAAATTGAACAGGAAAACTAACAAAAACATATATTCATTATATATTTATCTTTTGTAAAAATATTTTGAGTCTTTCGTAAATTCGTGAGCAATTTGATTTGTTTATGGAAGAAAAATTACTATGCACTATTTATGAACAAATATTAAATACAATGAAAATCATAATGTATGTGTCTTCTATGTGAATATTTTTGGTTGTTGATTTCATTTATGAACAAGAAGAAAATAATACGTAGAATTTCAGGACATTTTTTTTGTAAAAACAAAGTACTGCATAAATTGTAGGTAAATATTTGTCTTGTAAAAATTTTCATGATATAAGATTGATAATAATGTATCATTTAAAAACTTAACTGAACGCAGATGATTGATTTAAATTAATTATCTTAAATATTCATAAACTTGTTAAATTTGTTTGCAAATACTATATTTAAAACAATACACCACCCTTATTTCAAATACTGATATCAGTATTTGGAATGAAGGTGGAATTACAGATACATCTGTAATTATTATTGTCATTTTAATTACAGACATTATGTCTTCTCATAAAATATGTCTCAAAAGGTAATAAAATTTAGACAATTTCAGATAATAGTTAAATTCTCGCATTGACCATATTGTTGATATTAGTTTAGAATTTAAATGTTAGTATTGAGCGCGGAGCCAGCCACCCATCAACCTCGCATATCTCAGAAACTATTGAATGTTCCAACTTGAATTTTTTGTCAAATATTCAGTAAAGTGTATTAACAATGTATGTCAAGTTTTATCAAAATCGAATTATGTATTTTTGAAAACGTACAATCTCTTTCAATGTTAGTATTGAGAGCGGAAACAGCCACCCATCAATCTCCCATATCTCAGAAACTATTGAATGTTCCAATTTTAAATTTTTGTCAAATATTTAGTAAAGTGTACTAACAATGTATGTCAAGTTTTATCAAAATAAAATTATGTATTTTTGAAAACGTACAATCTGTTTCAATACTAGTATTGAGAGCGGAGCCAGCCACCCATCAACCTCGCATATTTCAAAAACTGTTAAATGTTCCAACTTTAAATTTTGGTCACATTTTTGGTAAAGTACAATAACAAGGTATGTCGAGTTTGTTCAAAATCGCAAATCGTATTTTTGAGAACATACCATCTGTTTAAATTTAGAATAATCGATTAATTTTATGGCATGCTCTATAGTGAAATATATATGATATTTAAGTGCTTTAAAATGATTTATTACAGCATCATAATAGTGAAATATAGAGCCATTAAAAAGCTATATCGATTGAGTAAAATAATGCCACTTATGTTACATCATATATATGATAAAATCTAATCATAATATTGTTCAATATTATAATCTGCAAATAAAATTTTGCAATAGCTTTGAATGATAATGAGATTATTAACGAAATTAGAAGCTATTGCATTCCCAATTCGAGACAAAAAAATCTAATTGAAATAAAAAAGATACTCTGAAATAAAAAAGTAAATTAAGTTAAAAAAGCAATGTTATAAAAAATAAATTAAATATATAATTATTCCAACTATGCAGTTGAATATATCTGACAAACTACTAGATCAAGGTTATTTACAGTGTTACCTCTGTAAAAAATGCACTCATGAAATTTATATTTTGCATTGGTTAAATAATATAGCTATTATGTTGTAAAGTACCTTTAAAATTAAAATAAGTCCCTGGACCTATTTGCCCTGATCATCTCAATTAACCCCAGCTGTGGGGTAAAAAAGACCAGATTACAAATTTTTGAAAATCTGCAAAAACAACACATTTTTGCAATGAGGAATTAGCTGAGAGTTTTACTGAACATATTCAGATAAATATTTGTTTGATGTGCTATTTTTATTTTTACAAAATAATTTGCTCAAAGTCAAATTGGACTTTTGTGCCCCGCCCCAAAATTTATATATATATATATATATATATATACATATATATATACTTACAATTACATTTTCATTATCATTTACCTTGTTGATCAATTGTGCAACCCCTATGACGTTTTTCTGTCCATTATAAATCGGCATGCACAGAATGTTTCGTGCCAGATCCGGTTGTCCATTCGCCTGGTCGACCTTTAACCAGGCCGAAACGTCGCTGATGTTCAGTATCTGACCGCTGGTGGCAACGTAGTGGGCAATTTGGGCCAAAGTTGACTGCTTCAATTCATCGATTGTTGGCCGAGATACTTCAGCTGAATCGTTGGAGGCACCGAGCTCGAAAATCATCGTGAAATGACTTCGAGATTCCTAGGAAAAAATAATGGTAGTTTGTGATTGATACGAAGTAGTTGTCTGAATGTGTTAGTAAATGAAAATGATAAAAATATTAAATAGTAAGTTTAAATTTATTTAATTAGCATCTAAATTTTTACTCTTTCTAATTTGTTTAATTTAATCTAATGAACCCTGATTGAGGAAAACATGAAGCTTTGGTTACATTACTAATAGTTGGATTAGCGTTAATTCTATATAAAAATTTATTTATTATTATATTAATATTTATATCATATCATAGTATTGACATAAAAATGAACTTAGGTTAATACTGGGATGTTTATTTTCTACCGTTTTATTCAACTCTTTATATTAGTTAACACCTTTATATGCTAAAATTACATTGCGTGGGTTAGTTAAAATGAGATACATCACTAAATATAAACATGAATTCAATATTAAATACTGATATACAATAAAACCTCTAATACAAATACGATTATATCTAATTCGTGTTTCATAAATACGTGATCTCATTTTAATAAAATATCGTATGGATGTATCGTATTAAAAACATATCATGGCAAAATCAGTTATGAAAAATATATAAGCATGAATTTCAATTTATGAAATTACACGAATTCAAAAAAATAACCCTAATATAACTTTCAGGTCACATTCCTAATTTTAGGATATTGTACCAAATATTAAGGCTTTTTTGTGAGCCTGACCAATATAATAATATATATAACCAATATAATATAACCAATAATTAATATTTAGAATATAACCAACCAATAATTAATATTAGAATATAACCAATAATTAATATTTATGACTGTTGTTAATCCTTTCAATATAAATTAACATTAGAAATAACAAAGAAATGTTTGATGAAAATTTTTGAAACTATTTGCATATTAGGTTTGTTTTTGTTCTAGTGCTTCTAATTTTTTGAATGTAAAATAAAAATTCGATGGTATATAACATGCATATTCAGCTCCATAAATATAAAATCAATCACAAAGTTATTGAATATAGCAATCAATAACAAATGTGTTTCCTGTAGTATTATTGTTTATTTGTTGAAAAATATTATAATAATAATAGAAATTGTACACAATTCTACCAAACAAATAATTAACTAATTATAACTTGATAATAGTGTGGAGCAAATTTGCTCCAAGTTAGATTTTAGTGTACCATGATATTAGCAATATAGAAACAAAAGAATGTATAAAAATATCATTATAGATCGATATCTAATAAATCATCGTAAAATTACTTAGTATTTATTTTTAATTAAATATACATTTAGTTATTTATGGAATGCGCTCCATGGTGTATTGAAATTGTGCATGGCGTTATTAATTTTTTAAATGTTTTTCAATTTTGCAATTTTTAATGTTTAATGATAAACATTGAAGTAAATTTTAATTTTTCTCTATTACGTAAATGCATAAATTTTAGCAAAAAAATAGAAACTGAAATATCAATGTACTTAAATGAGTTTACTGCACACTATACCACAATAAATTTGATACTAATAAACTATATCAAAATATCGATAATAATCAAATTAATAAAGTTATGGAGCTCTCATAGTTCGAAGAAGCTGCCATCAGAAAATTTACTACATCAATAAAGTTTATGTAATTGAATTTTTATGGTTAATGAATATCCGCCTGCCACAAGAAGATATCCGCCGGCGGCCTTAATACGTCTTCAGCAAAAATAATTTAGTTTTGATTCAATAGACGTAAGTTGAAATTGGAATTATGGAACTACACCGAGAATTTATGTTAAAATTGCATTATGAAATGTATTAAATTTTTTGAAATTTTGAAAATTGCACTTTGAAAATTAACTGCACTAGACGCTTTATGGTAACAAAAATGGTCTTATGTAAGAGCACTTTAATTTTAACAAGATTAGTCTGAATTATTTTAAAATTCTAGATATAAAATCAATCGAGAAGTTCAAACTCATTATTAAAAAAAATAAAAAAAACAAAAAAATTATTACATTGAGTATGATAGAAAATGAGTATTCCAGCAACTTTTTATACTTTACCCCAATTCATAATTATAGTTGTAATATATTAAAATTGCTTCTTAATTTTATAAGTATTGCTCTGGCAGATTCGCTTAGAACAGAATTATCCAGATTACCAATCTGGTTATATATGAAATATGAGTTTACAAAAAAAAATTACATAAAAAATCACAAATATAAAAACAGTGCAATAATCAATCCAATTTTTATGAATTAAATTCTAGATTACAAATACTTTATATACCAAAAAATAAGTACAAGGCCTGAACCTACAAAATTTTCAAATATTAATTCTATAAAGTTGATGTAAAAATGAAATGTATCGCATTACCTTATGAATATTAAATTCAGTATAAATATCCTACGTTTTTAATAAAAATCTACTAATTACCTATCTACTTTCCTAACTTGAGAAATTCTCTACATTCTAATTTATTAGTGAAGTTACATAGAAA